AGAAGTGGCAAAGTCACATTGCAAAGGGCTATGCATTCTGGAAGTGGATTAATTTGTGGCGGCTAAAACAATCGTTGAGCATTATATTATTTTTAGAGTCCAGACAAATGTCAGTATAATTAATGATATAATTTTGGTTTCTAAAGCATTAAGGAAAGCAATATTCAAATAAACAGGGCCAGGCACTGTGGTTTATGCTTGTAATCCCAGCACTTTGGGAGGCTGAGTATCACTTGGGATACTCATCGTTTGGAGATAGGAGTATCACCTGAAGATAGGAATTCAAGACCAGCCTGGGCAACATAGTGAGACCCCATCACTGTAAATTTTTACAAAGTAGCTAGGTATAGTGGCTCATGCCTGTAGTTCCAGCCACTCCAGAGGCTGAGACAAGAGGATCATTTGAGCCCAGGAGTTCAGGGTTACAATGAGCTATGACCACATCATCATACTGCAGCCTGGGTGACAGTGAGACCTTGTTGCAAAAACAAAACAAAACAGAAAAACAAAGCTTCTCTCAAATTATAAGGTTGTTATAAACATCTCCAAAAGTTTATCCTTTTCTCTACACATACACACACCAGGCATAATTCTCACTCATCATCAGCCATATAATTTTCCATTCTTTTTAATACAGAAACTTTCTTTCCCTCTTTCTAGTTTGCTATGGCAGTACTTCCTTCAGTCTTGTAGCTTGGCAGTTACCTAAGTTTCCTACTTACTTTGGCCACTTGCCACCTAGAATATTAAGTCCCCTGAGACATGCTGTCAAAGGCAACACTCCTGGAACTGCCTATTGCATTTTTTTTCCACGCTTGTTGGGAAGAGCAAGACTCCCACAGGGCAAAGCAATCTCCTTTGAATCAAGCAGGAAAAAAAAAAAAAAAAAAATTGGTAAGCGCTGGACTTTGACAAGCAGCTTCTGGTAAAGTCTACAGAACTACTTTTAAGTGGCTGGGTGAGCATTAACTTTTCATGGGGCTTTTTTTGTTGTTGTTACTCAATGATTTTTTGGAGCCAGCAGATATTTTGTAACAACTAAAAAATACCTAAATTCATTCTGAAAAATAGTCTTCCATTTTTGGTTTAATCAGCAAAAAAAAAAAAAAAAAAAAAAAAAATACAAACTGCTTCCTTTTTTTTTCCTTTGCAGACAGACAGGGTCTCAGTCTGTCATCCAGGCTGGCTTGAGTGCAGTGACGTGATCACGGCTCACTGCAGCACAACCTCAACCACCAGGCTCAAGGTATCCTCCCACCTCAGCCTTGTGAATAGCTGGGACCACATGCATGCACCACCACACCTGGCTAATTTTTTTTTTTTTTTTTTTTAATTTTTTTGTAGAGACGGGGTCTCCCTGTATTGCCTAGGCTGGTTTCAAACTCCTGGGCTCAAGCAATCCTCCTGACTCTGCCTCGTAAGTGCTGGGTTTACAGGCATACCCCACCTAAACTGTTTCCTTCATCTACTTTTAACTATTTATTAAATAACTTGAACAGGCTAAGTTCAAGTTCCAAGTTACAAAAATTGTTGAAGAGAGCATTTATTTTTACATCCTAAAAATGTGAGATCTAATGTTGTAGACAAAAGAAGTTAAAAATCTGGTGCAACAAGATGAATACAGAATAAGAAAAGAATTAACTAAAAAGCTTTCTGAATTATCCAGCAATAGTTCTAATTTGAATTACTGCCCATGCCAAAACATTACCTCTGCAATTTTATGACTGCTGTATCTGCTACTATTAACTTAGCTAACAACATTTGCTCACAAGGAAATAAAACACATACAAGAAAAAACTGACACCAAAATAGTAAGTTGACAAATTTGCTGTTGAAAAGGAAAATAGAAAACATATTTCTATGAAAAATTATGGAGAATTTAAATTATTTTAATTTTTCAAATATTCTATTTGTCTCACTAGAAATTTTTTCTATTTCTCACTAGAAATTTTAGTTTTTTTTTTTTTTTTTTTGTTTTTTTTTGAGACGGAGTCTCGCTCTGTCGCCCAGGCTGGAGTGCAGTGGCCTGATCTCAGCTCACTGCAAGCTCCGCCTCCCGGGTTTACACCATTCTCCTGCCTCAGCCTCCCGAGTAGCTGGGACTACAGGCGCCCACCACCTCGACCGGCTATTTTTTTGTATTTTTTAGTAGAGACGGGGTTTCACCATGTTAGCCAGGATGGTCTCGATCTCCTGACCTTGTGATCTGCCCGTCTCGGCCTCCCAAAGTGCTGGGATTACAGGCTTGAGCCACCGCCCCCGGCCTTACAGTTTTGTTTTTTAAGATACGATGTTTTGCTCTGTAGCCCAGGCTGGAGTATAGTGGCACAATCATAGCTCACTGTAGCCTCTAACTCCTGGGCTTAAGCAATTCTCTTGCTTTAGCCTCCCAAAGTGCTGGGATTACAGGCGTGAGCCACTGTGCCCCATTCAGAAATTTTAAAATTCTTAAAATGTGCAATCAATTATTTCATGAAGCTACTGAATATTTTCATATAAAGAACATGCCACAATCAGTAAATTGATTGATTTCCAATCAATTTACGTAATTTATGAAAGGCCATTATATTCATGTAGATAAATGTATATGTGTATTATGAATCAAATTTATTTGAAATCTTCCTGTATAGAATAAAGTATGAACTTTTAGATGACATACATATTTTTCCCATTCTCCTTAATAATATATTGGGCAGAATTGTTCATCTAAGTTGACTTTGCTTTTTTGTGGTAATTGTTTTTTCTATTTTTATTTACATAGTCAGATGCTAAGTTTTAAGCTTTTGAATAGTATGTCTGTCTGATATATCACTTCTTCCAGGAGCCTCCCTAAGAGAACTATAAATCTGCAATGAGAAGGAAGTATGGGCAAATGAGTGAGAAAAATGTGAAGGAAAGAATCCTTGCTAAACATTGCCGCAATTGAATATTTCACACTTAAATTATTCTCACCATGTTATTTCCAAAGGGTTGCTCATTAGGTTTTCACTTGCCTTGATGACCTTAATTAGACTTGTTCCAGATTTATGAGAACTGTAAAATTAGGAAACTTTCATTAAACAAACAAACAAAAAAATGAAAACGCCCGGATGGTTTTCCAAAGCACATACAGCATTACTTAAGACTATGATTTTCAGCTAGTTGGATATATCTATCTACAGCTCTAGCCAGGTCTGTAAGAATTCTGTGACTGAGGCCTAATGGAACCAATTTTCACTCTGGCAGAACAAATTCAAGTTCTAATACTAACTTGAATTCCAGTTTCCTTTAGATGCCAGGAATCAGATCCTTTAAGAGGAAATTGTATCAGCACTTCTGCCTATTAAGCGATATTCCATATAGTTAGTCTAAATAGCTAGCAGGAACAACTGACTCAAGTCAAATCTAAGACAGAAAACAAATGATTTTTTAATTACTGAAATTGTTTTATTATTATTTTAAAATACTAGTCAAGTGCAGTTATTCTGTTGGTGGTGGTGGGTTTGTTTGTTTTTGTTTGTTTGCTTTAGTCTTTTCCTTTCAGGGCCTCGATTTTCTGCAAACTTCACTTATCTTGACTGTGGACCACTGACCTTCTTTAAACAGGAACAAATATATTCACTCACCTACACTAACAATCATATTACAGTCACAGGCCATTAACTGTCACTCACATTTTTATTACCCTGCATCTGATGAACATTGATACACTTGGGTGTCTTCCTCTGCACTGGGAAAAAAAAATAATTTAGATAGAATTCTAAAAGTTAGCATGCTTTGTCAATAGCTTCATTGTTCCTCATGCCCATTCATCACATCTTGCTTGCTATTGAAATCCTCCCTTGCTTTGTAACATTATTAAAGTCAGTCATTATTAAAGTCGTCTCAAAAAGAGATACCTCTGCAACTTCTAAGATGTTGTCAACCAGGAATCATATTTTCAATACTTCAAATTATATTGTATTTCCAAGCTTTGGAAACAAATATAATATTCTTGCATATTTTCTAAGATGAAATTTCATGTAGACAGTGATGTGATAGAAAAGATGATGCTTATCTAATGATTTTGGCATTGCCCCTTGATAACTATGACACTGAGAAAATCAGCATTGGTTTTCCTATTATCAGAACAAATTACAGTCCATGTTCTGGAGTCCTACATGTCTTACATTTGAGAGAGACAAATCACTGGGAAAAAAAAAAAAGGGAAATAGTTATATCTGTATCCATCTAGTTTCACTAACATATCTTTAAGGTACAGATTTTTTATAACAATCACATATGGCCGGGTGTGGTGGCTCGCACCTGTAATCCTAGCACTTCAGGAAGCCGAGGTGGGCGGATCACGAGATCAGGAGTTTGAGACCAGCCTGGCCAATATGGTGAAAACCCATCTCTACTAAAAACACAAAAAAATTAGCCGGGTGTGGTGGCGAGCGCCTGTAGTCCCAGCTACTCAGGAGTCTGAGGCAGAAGAATCCCTTGAACCAGGGAGACAGAGGTTGCAGTGAGCCAAGATCGTGCCACTGCACTCCAGCCTGGGTGACAGAGCGAAATTCCATCTCCAAAAAAAAAAACCCAAAAAACAAACAAAAAAACACGATATGATTTTACAAGACCAACTTAAGGGGGATTCTTATGTTGCTTTAGTTTTGTTTTTCACAAAAACTAGATTTAATTCAAGCTTCACGAAAAGGTTAAAATAACACACAAGTAAGTCCATAGTTCCTAATTTTCCAACCCTTCCTTCAGTAGGCATTGCAGGCCATTTGAACCAGATAGTTTAAATTTTTGATGGTGCAGCTAAGTGAATAAGCATCCCTCCACAGAATGCATGCACTGTTGTGTCATTTTCAATTAATGTGAAATAGTTTTGCCAAAATATGACTGCAAATGTGAAGCTGCTATTCTGAACATTTGGAACAACTATAGCTCATTTTTCATTATGTGTTGTTTTGGTATAAAAATACTGTTTAAGCAGTTCATGAATACTCTTTTCTATTTAATCACAAAGAAATATATTCAGAGTGAACATGATCACTTTATTGGTTACCAAAGATCCTTGGCAAAGTGCAAGCACCGTGAAGAATGAAAGTAAGTCTTCAACAGTTTCCCAACTTCAATGAAAACCTATATGGGCCTAGATTTACAGATTACATATTAAGAAAAAGTCTGTGCATGATGTATCTGCTGCGTGTGTATTCCTATGTGGGAAATAAAGCAAGCCAGAGAGAAAGTGGGTGGGGGCACAATTGCAAAAAGTTATCTCTCCTAGGAGATTTATTATTGGGAAATGGAGAAACAGATAGTTCAGCACTCTTCTTTCTGGTTACAATACAACACTAGAAAAAAAACTAATTTTTTATAATTTACCATAGAATCTCTTGTCTTAGACTAGAAGGAATACAATCCCTGTTACATGTGTATATATGTCCATGTGTACACACACATTTTTCTCTTCTGAAATTTTTATCTCAAATCTCTTTCAATCAAAATGAGTTGAGCTTCAAACAGGATCTGGGTGAGACAGAACCTTTTTAAAACTGTGCTCAACTCAGTGAATGCTTTAAAAGTGAATTAATGAATAGTATCCTCAAATGCAAAAACATGCTCAAGACTGACTGCCTGTCTACATTTTGAGTCTGAAAGAAAGTGCTTGGGTTTTTAAAGAACAAAGAAGAAAAGCCTTCATTTTTCCTTCCTTCCCTTCCTCTCCACAATTTAACCAAGCATTTTTTGCTAGGTTCTTTTCTTTAACATAAAAACAATAAAGCTCTTCTGTCTTTCTTCTCTCTTCCTCTTTCTATCTCCAGGACCACAAATTTGACTAAAAATAATTGTCCACATGGAATCCTTAATACATCAACATAGGAAGGAGACACTCACTATCCCAAGACTCAGCCCACCTGGCCTAGATTTAAAATATGCATTACAGGCTGATTAAGTCTGGCGCATGGTTTATCTGGTGAGCGTTCCCCACCCCACTTCTTGCGGCTTTGCTTGCTCATCTAGGGGTTCCTGGAAGGCCCCTAGCACCCCCTAGCAGGGCGCGAGGTAAGTGGAGAGTTTGCCCGGGTGCTGGGTGATGTGCCCGGCAACTTCTGCTTTTTCCCCTGGGGGAAACTGTGACGTTAGAAAGGTATCTGCAAGCGTTTCTTCTGGTTGGCCTGGAGGTTTCCCGAGCCCCTGGACTGGCGACCCAAACCCCTACACTTCCTGCACGGTGCTTGGAAGAAACCCAGATCAGCAGACAAATCAACGCGCACCACACACTGTGCCCCAACATCAAGCGCCAACATGTGCCTTTCAGGCCAAACGAGAGTACGGACCCCTTGCAAGGAGCATATAACCTCGGCGTGACCCGTGGAGAGGCGGGACCCCAGTGGAGAGCGAAGCACGGAGAAGCCTGGGAAGGAGGTGGTGAGAGGGGTACAGTCCAGGCTGCCCCATGCGCGCTGGGGTTGTCGCCGCGCGTCCTGCGCGCCCCAGTGCCCCTAGAATCTCCAAGAGAGCAAACGTGAGCGCGGATCAGTTTCTCTCTTTCCCAGAAAGCGAGCTTTTTATTGAGGGGAAACTTAGCTGGGAAAAGTCTGCTCCTACGTTTGTTTTGGTTTTTCGTCTATTTGCTTCCCAATTTAAAAGTGGCCGCCTGGGCGACAGGCTTGCGGTTTTCACAGTGTAAAACGGATTAGAGGGAAAGCTCCAGCCCCTCTCGACTTTCGCTTGCGGTTTGCAACCCCTGGGGAGGGTCTGACCCCGCGCGGCACTTGCCCAGGCGAGCTTCCCTTGCGGCGGCCAGACCCGCTCACGGACTCGGTTTCCCCGAAGTAGGACCCACTAGGTGGGCCGCTGGGCCCCAGGCCTGGCAGGGCGGAGCCTAGGTCGAGCGCCCCGGGGTTGGAGGTTCCCACGGTGCTGGGAAACTGCGCGCCCCAGGTCCGCAGGCAGCCTCCCTTCCCCCGCGCCCTCGCACCTGCCCTCTGCTCAGCCGCTCCCGGTCCTGGGTGTGCGGGAGTCCCGGGGATCCCTCTCCTGGAAGCAGAGGAGGAATTTGGTGCAAAAGGAAGGGAATTTACTGCGGATGGCACCGGAACCTGGATTGGCTTGTGCGTTTCCTGCTCTGGGTACGTAGGTTTCCCCTAGAAATCTGGAGTTCGCTGAGGACCCTTATTTCCAAGAGATTGTGGGTTCACATACACATACCATTTACATACACATACCATAAGTTCACATACACATACCATTAACTTAATACCATTCAGTTAAAAATAAAGAAAAAAGAAAAACTGCACTTCGATCTTCTCCACTTTCCCTGGTATCACCAAATAAATAAAGCATGCGGACGAGAGTGGGCTGCTGCTGGGGGCTCGAGAGGTGCGCGAGACGAGGTTACCCTGCGGGTCTGCCGCTGCCCCCGGCCTCTAGCACCGCACCTGCCCACGAGTTTGCGAGATAGGAGCGCCGAAGGAGAACCCCGGACCGCCCAGTCTCACCCTAAAAACTTGTATCCAAGAGTCCTACGGTTGTGGAAGTGCCAATCCTCCGCGACCCTTTCCTGCTGGCCTTCTGCTTTTTATAAACGAAAATAAAAGTTTGATTTAGGCTTAAAGAAATGCCATTCTGGTCGTTCCTCCCTGAAGCGAGACTTACGCATCCTCATATACTCGCAGAGAATTTTCAATCTCGCCTGTCGAAATCGCTATCTGGGCATCCGCGGACGAAGTCCTGCAGGTGGTAGGGTCAAGGGATCAAGCAGATAGCAGCAGGGATTAGCACACTCCGGCCGTTCCAGACGGTCAGGCCCACTGCTCGAGGGAAACATGCAGCGATGGAGCCAGGGCTGCGGGCTGCGGACCACGAGAGCCGCGCACGCGGGCTGGGAACCCGGTGGTGCCACCTTAAGAGTAGGGTCGGCGCAGCGGCTGTGGAGGCGCCCGGTACCTGCAGGGGGCGCTGCTGTCCCGTGGTTTCTCCCGCGCCGCCGCGTGCAGCGGGCCTGGTGGCTCCGGGGCCCCGGTCCCCGGAGGGGGTGGGGACGCTGGGGGAGGAAGGGATCGAAGTGCAGCCGTTAGGTAAGGAACCCGAGCCCTCCCGGATTTAGAAGCGGCCTCAGTGAGGCGTTTGCAGGAGGGAGATTTCCATCATTCGGCCGCGAGAGGAAACGTGGGGAGACGCCCTCCCCTACCCCCACTGCCTGCCTTCCTGCCTCCCTCCACCTCCGCTCCCCGACCCCGACCGTGCTTCCCAGACCCTTTGTTCTCGAGGTTGGGAACGGCTGGGTGGGGGTTCCCCGGGGAAGAGGTCCCCCGCGCCACTCGGAGGGGAAGGGACTGTCGCCTGCCCCGCACCCGGGTCCTCCCCGGTGCCGTCCCTCTCTCCCCAGCTCCTTCCATCGCGTGCTTCTGTTCTCACTCGGACTCCCCCAGCTCCCGAGCTCCGGCTCCCCAGCCTGCACAGTCTGCAAGCCCGCCTGCCTTCCCACCTCCCCGCCACCTCCGAGGTCCCCGGGAAGAGGGGAGGACAGGGAGACGTGTGGGGGAGGAGAAACCACAGAGCCTTCTCGGCGCGGAGCATTCCCAGGGACCCTTCCAGGCCCAACCCCTGGGACCCGCTGCAGAGGCAGGGCTTTCCTGGCGCCGCCGCAGGTCGCAAGGGCCGCCCCCGCCGCGTCACCCTGGGGCCCACGGGTGCACTGCCCGGGCAACGAGGCAAGGCGCGCCCTCTCAGCGCCAGGACCCAAGACCCCCAGCTGGAGAGAAGGGGACACCGTGGTCCGCGCCCTGGGGAAGCTAATTGCACACGAACGCCCCCTCTTCCCCGCCCCCCACCGTACCCTCTGCAGCGCCACCCGCGTCGCCTCTCCGCCGTGCGCCACCCTGAGGGCTCCCGCGATTGTATCTTCTTGAGCACAGTTACCAATGCGTTCAGCTTCGTTTCATACTCGGATGGAGGCGTCGCGGAGGGAAGCGAGGGGACAGGGATGCGGGAGTAAGGGAAAGGTGGGGCGGGAAACCGAGCAGAGAGGTGGGAGACGTGGCTGAGGCAATGGCACCGGGCAGCGCCGCCCGGAGTCCCGAGTCCAGGTCCACGAGGCAGGCCCCGGTGCAGCCGCCCCCCGGCCGAACCCTGCATGTCCTCTGTACTGTAGACGCGAGTCCGCGGAGCGCCACTCACACCCCCGCACCCCTACAAGCTCCCACGGTAGAGGGAGCTCGGCACCAGCTGGGTCACAAAGTAGGTGCCCCCACCCCCCACCCCCAGGTGAAGAGGACGCAGCCCGGCGCCGTCAGCTCCAGGCTGCCTGGAGCCCCCTCCGGCCTCTCGGCGTGACCCTGGTCCTCACTGGGCTCGTCGCGAGCTGCGCTAGCTGTTCTTTCAGCAGCGGGTTCCCCAGGACACACCCCGGCCCCACCCCCCGAGAGCTGGCGGCCAGCTTAGGATGCCAGGCGGCCAGGCGGGCGCCCTGCCAAATTCCGCGTTCCTCTCCAGGAGACGGGGAGTTGCGTCCCAGGCTCAGGAAAGCCCGCAGTTCGGGCTTGGGACTCGCTTGCAAAGCCCCCTAAGGCGCCAGGGACGCCTCTGCAGGTTGAATTCCTGCTCCGTATCACTTCAATTTTAATTAATCTTTTAAAACACCGCTGTCACGTCGCTTGCAGAAAATTAATCAAACTTGAATCCTTGTTGCATAGCAAGAATTTCGATCCGAGTCTTTTAAAAAGGACTTGACTTTGCAAAGTCACGTCTTTTACAGTTCCCTCATTCCCCCTTTAGCAAGGGAAATATTGCAAAAGTCAAGACATGTTTGTTTGGTTCTTTCTATCTTCAAAATGAAACTTTGCTTATTTCTGATCTTTATTTTCCTGTCTTTGAACAACAACAAAAAAAAACCCGAGATAAATTGCCTACGTCGGTTAATTCAAAATATAATTACTTTGAATGATCTTTGTTTAAGAGCCCAGATAAACTAAGATAATCTTAATTTTAATATGACACGACCCCTATTTTTCCTTGCAAATCATGAGAATAAAGCAGTCATTAATTAATACCAAGATATCTCCATAGAAGATGGTATCTGGTCTCGCTGAGACACTGAAACATCAGTTGTATTAGTAATTGATACTGTATAATTGAACATGAAGATAACCGTCTATTTTTAACCTCCAAGCTTAGAGTTTATTTGGTGATTACTGAGCTCCTAATAATTAATTTTTGTTCCTTCTTACTGCATAAATAATTCTTCTGACTGCCAGTTCCCATGCAATGCAGAGGCTTCTCATTAAAACCTACCCCTCAAAATATAAGATTGTGAAGCTATATTGTGCAGCAACTCCTTCTACTCCATTATTTGTAACATATTTGTTCTATTTCATATCTTCCTGGTACATTTCCTTTGCTGTGATTTTCCTACTAAATATGTGAGAATATAATTATAACATCTTTTACCACAGCTTTGTATTTCTGTGATCTCTAGGTTCAGTTTAATACACAATAGTTAAGACTTCAATTTTTCATGTTTCTAAAATGTGAGGATAGTTCCATTGAAGAATCAAAAATACTTGTATAGTGAATTTGCCATGATTATATTCCCAACCTAACACACAGTCCACTTTAACTCACACTTTTCTGTTGTTAAAAATAGACTTTGCTCAAACACATTCCCTTTTTCCAGCTTGAGTTGAAGATAGTTCTTACAATTTCCTGGGTTAAATGTACACGCTAACACAACCTTTGACTTTAAAAAACAAATTCCCCTCCCATGTTGGAGAGAAGTCTTCCAAACAGTTATGGAAATTTAAACTGTAGCTTTAAGGTATCTAATTATTTCTTAGCCTCAGTTATTTTGGGGCATCAATGATCTTCACTTTTTAAGTGGAAAGGGTTATATTTTTCTCATATATACAAAAAACTCTCTACTTATTTTTCCGATAAAGTGTCTCCCAAGTATGACATGTTTTATACCACACAAATGTTCTTAGTACCTCCACTACCAAATCCATGCATTTTCCTTGTCAGTGCTCTATCTAAAGTGTTGGAAAATATATAGGGTTTCCACTTTTATTTCCCCCTTAGTATAATTAAAACTTTAGGTCAATATATAACAGAGTGATTCTCTCCACTTGGATTTTATATTTTCCCACTATAATTTGGACTGAAATGGGATTAAAACAGGATCTAGAGTTCTAATCTTGGTTGATGTTTTGGTGTATTCACCCTAATGAGTCCTATTCCCTGGGGTCATGAAGCTCCCAAATGTCAATCAAGCAAACTGATTCAGAAATGCCATTGTTCGACTCCCACGTCACTCGCCTTCCTCTCATTTTATTTAACAATACCGGAGTTCTCTGATCAGTCATTCGGAATATGAGGCATTATCTGGGGAAAATTCACAAAGTGTCTTGATCTTTCTTTGGGAGATACTGTTAAGGGGTATCCGCAAAGCAAAAAGTGCTTGTTTATATTTCTGTCTTTGGACCGCACTATGGATGGAAAGAACCAATGAATACTGCTTGAAAGAAAATCATACCGTAAATCCGTCAAAAATTAATTCGTCCAGTTGAATGTTACATTTCTATTTTCTATTTTCGTATTGGAAGCACCCTGATTTGTCACCAGAGGAGAAGTATGACCTGGTCTGGGTCCAGTTGACATGCCCCCACTTTCAACCCTATTTTCACCACTTAATACTATTAACGTGTTTAGTCTACACTAGTTAACTAGGAATTTATTTGGGGGCGAGGAAGAGCTAACCTTTGCTCCCGGAGTTCTACCCAGCCCACTCAGATACGTCCGGGAGCCTCCGCAACTCGCATTTCCCAGTCGCAACCCTGGGTCATTCCTCCTCCGTCCCAGCTCCCGGACAATTCCCAAAGCCAAAGGCGTCGAGCGTGCTACCGGCTCCCACCAGCACAAATTAATAATCAGCTTAACTCGTGGAGGCTTTGAGCCCCAGTGCTCCGTTCCCTGAAGCCTCCCAGTGCGGAGCCCGGCTCCTGCGAGGACTTCTTTGGAGGGGGGCAGGGACGGATTTCCTGGGAAAAGCCGTCGCTGGCGTGTTGCACCTAGAGGGCTGTGGGCAAGGAGAAACGCACCAATGTCCCAGTTCTGGGTTCTCAGATCGGGATTCCTCCAAAATCGCGACAGCCGCTTAGGTGTTGGGTGCTCGCGTTGGCAGCACAGAGCGCCAAACGCACGACCCCGCGCGCCCCGCGCGACCTCCACGAACACTTAGAGCCGAGGTGACAAGGGAAGGCGGCGGAGATGGGAACAGGGGGTGGAGCCGCTCTCTGGTGGAGCACGATCGATCACTTTAAAGTAAAGGGTTCAAAAGTTCCAAGTTCCCCTTTGGAGGGGAGAGGTAATGCTTCCCGCGGCCTGCTTCTCTCTGCGACCCGCAGGTTCCTGGCAGCCGCGCAACCACTGGGGATCTCGGTTGCAGCTTGCGGGAGCCCCTTCCGGGGAACAAGCTGTCCTGCCCGCGCAGCCGTGCGAGGTTGACGCAGCTGCTAGGGAGCAGTTTGGCTTCCCCGGGAGTAGCGGAATTGCTCGGCACAAACGTGATCTCAGCCCTCCGGGGCCGGGGCGCGCGCTTTTCCCTTTCTCAGCAAGCGGGAAAGGCCTGTTGGCGGAGGCCCGCGGAGTGCTGGCGGCCAGGCGGCGCGAGGCTTCGGCGGAAACCTGAGCTCCCTGCGACCTGTTCTGCTAGCAGGGGCTGGGGAGAGCCCCAGTCAGCCGCCCCAGAGGCGGACCGTGCAAATTCCTGAGAAAAGCCCTCTAGAAAACACCAAACCCTTCCAAAAGCCGTGGCTCTGCCCCTCCCTCGTCCTGCGGCCTTCCATCCTGCGCGCTCGCATCACACAGCCGGCCGTCACCTGCGACCTGGCCAACGGGCTAGCCACCCCTCTGCGTCCCCACCCTGCTCTTAAGCTCCTTCTCCCCCTGACCTTTCTGAGGCCTGGGCGAGGGTAGCCAGGGTGCTGCAGAGGAAATGAAATTGTTCTGGAGATTACAGTGGGGCTTTGGGCCAGAAGGGGTTTTTCCTCCTTCTTTTTCTCATGCTTCCATGTTAAGTGCAAACTTGTATCTCCCGTCACAAGAATAGCCAAATTTTCTCGCTTATTTGCAGTTTTGCAAAGTTCTACACACAGATCAGTGAACCTTAAGCGCCCTTGTTCAGCCCCACATTGTGGAGGTTTGTCAGGGGCCCTGGGCAGTGAGCGTAATGACAGGTGAATCCAGCAACCCCAGGGGGAGCCCGACCTAACCCCAGGACTTACAGTAGGCCAGGGGGGCCAGAGGCTCCCCACACAGCTTCCAGCAACAGGTACCCTACACCAGAGCAGGCCTTCAGGGTTCTTCGGCTTAGGCCCTGGGCCCAGAAACTCCCTCAGTGACCTGGGACAGAGAGACCCCACCCGCATGTCTTCCCCCAAGGTGATTCCTTGTCTCCAGATTACCCCTTGGTCACACAAGAACAAGAATCTCTGCTCTCTGTGCCACCTGCCCAGACACAGCCAGGCCTTGTTTCAGCTGCAGCAGAGGCCCTCACAGTGTAAGCCCATTGGTGCTTTCAACCTGCTTGTTCTTCTGACATGATTTAAAATAAAGAAGAGGAGGAGGAAAGGCAGAAGAAGAAGCAGGGAAGAGAAGGATGGGGGACTGGGAGGAAGAGGAGCAGGGAAGATGCAGAATAAAAGATGACCAAAGGGGATCAGCACAAAATGGAACGATTCCTTTCTTATCCAAATTGCCCCATAACTCAGTGTTTCCCACACTCTAAAAGAGAGATAACTGGTTTTGATAACTACTAATACTTTCTCAAAGTAACTTTTCTGAGTGAATTTTACTCTTGCACCTGACTGGACCCAACCTACCCCTCTCCCCAACCTGAAGAGAGGAATAGGCCATGTAGCTTCGGGGAGATAAATAGCTTTATAAGGCATAATAGCCTCCCTGTAGCCAGTCATCACTCCACAGAAAGCCAGGGAGATTCAAGCTGCGAAAACCTAGGTGCTTTGTTGCATAACCAATCTCAGCCTTAATCCAGCCAAGGTCAGCCCACATTAGATTCCCAAGAAATGGGCTTAGGGTTCCTCCTCCTGCCTGGACCATTCCCAGGTAAGGAGGTCCTTATAGACAAGTACATCTAGTACTTACAACCAAACTCCAAGTGAGAGCAAGTCATCATTTGTGATGAGAGTAGAAGACCATGGTAGAGAAGGGAGGAGGTGTAGATATGTATAAACATATGTTTGCTTTTGCCCAACTCTGCAATTCTAGCCTGACTCAGTCCATCCTCACTCAACTACCAGGGTAAAATAGAAATCAGCCTCTGGGTTGTCAGAGAGAGAGTAGTGGTTGTGTGTGTATGT